TACACAAGCCTATTATTTTTCCTTGTATTCAGATGTTTCTGTGCCAAATGCCATGTTCACATGGGAGACTTTTGGCTGGAGCCAGAGTTGGCGGAACCTGGGTGGGGCTTGAGGGGTTTGGCCTGCTTGGAACTGGATGGCTAGGCTGGTGGCTGGCCGTATGTCAGGCCATGTAGAGCACTGGCTCTGGTCACAGGGTGGCCACACAACAAAGTCTAGTCTTTTCCTGGGACTTCAGCTTCCTCATCAGTGAGAGATGAGGGTCTTGCCTTCCTGGCCTCCCAAAGATTTTGTGAGAATGCATTTGGAAGGATTTGCAATGGCAGATGTGAAGTTCCACAGCAGAAGCACTAACTGTTGTGAGATGTGTGACAGTGGGCAGAGGTCCGAAACTAGCTTCAGCCCTTGAGTCTTGGATGGAACCCATCACTAGCTTGGACCATTCCTCTCCCAGAGCCTGCATCTCCTGTCTGCGGAACACTGAGCCCCGGGGGCTCTCCTAGCCCTGAGGTTCTCCTGTTCTATTCCTTGGCTCTGCACAATGGTTAAAGCACTTCCAGATGGTGAGATTTGAGGAGCTTGGTCCTTGCTGGCCTCCTAAGAGGAGCTCTCTGTTGCCTCTTGTCACTAAGTGATCCAGATACCCACAGGTCCCTTGGTCCTGGCCCATTACTCCCAGATGCTGAGGAGTTGGGAGCACGGCATCTGGTACTGAGTCCCTCCTACCGTGGTCAAGTTCACTCAGGCTTTTCCACTCTATGCTTTTTGAGTTGGCAGTGCAGGAAAGCACAGTTTTCTGGAGGAACCTGAAGCACAGGACAGCTTCTGGGACATGGTTCAGGTGGACACTGGCCTCTTAGCTTTTATGGCTCAATATCCTAGTGGGAATTATGAAGCAAACCTATCTTTGCCTTCTACAGACATAGAAGCTCTGTCTGTAGCTTCTGTAAAGTGGGCTTCTGCACAGAAGATTTTGTTGAGAGCTTTAAGTCTATGATGACATTGGAGGTCACTTGTCCTAGTATCCTAGGCTGGTGCTGTTTAACAAGGCCAGCAACTTGGATACAGACCCTTACTCTTACAACTCTGTAGGCTGGTGGGATCAGGACCCGCCCTACTGGCTTCATTTTAATATAAGCACCCACAGAAAGGCTCTCACTCTTCATAAATGCATATTCTGAGGGTCTCAGGGTTGGTTGGGGCTTTGTGTGTGTGTGTGTGTGTGTGTGTGTGTGTGTGTGTGTGTATGTGTGTGTGTGTCTATCTACAGGTTACTATACTGAGGATTGAATCAAGAGCCTCACATTTGCTGGGTAAATGCTCTAACACTGAGCTCAACAATCCTTTTTCCATTTTTAATTTTGAAGCAGTCTAGCTCTAACCTGGCTGACCTTGGAGTTTCTCTCTCTCTCTCTCTCTCTCTCTCTCCATTTGTTTGTTTGTTTGCTTGCTTGCTCTTTGAGATAAGATAAGACTTCCCTTTGTAGCCCTAGAATGCACTTTGTAGACCAGGCTGGCCTTGAATTTAGAGATCCAACTGCCTCTGCCTGAGATCTGGGATTAAAGGTGTGAGCCACCATGCCAGATTGACCTTGGACTTTCAGTCCTTCTGCCTCTAGCCAGGATTAATAAGCAGCTTTGTTTCTTCAGGCTGGGTTTGATATATAGATTTATGGAGACATAATTCAGCCCAAGACCATTTTGCTCCAGAATGGAAGACTGAGGCCCAGAGAAAAAAAGCTTACAATTATTACACAGTAGGCTGGGGCTGGAGCTCAGGGCCGGGTCAGGGTTCTATGTACGCTGATCTCTTGTATAGCCAAAGCAGAGGAGGATGGCCTCTGCCCCAGGACTTCTCACACGTGGGCCCCGTCAGAACTCCCCAGGGGAAGACTGGGCATTGCCATTTGCCAAAGTTGTAAATCTTTTAAGCCATAAGCTGCTCCTTGGCGTCTCCCAAGTGCCCTAATGTGAAATACACATGTCCCTCCCTTTTAAGATCCAAGCAAACTCTGAATTTCCCATCGTGTTTGCACCTAAGGATGCAATTACCATTTCCTCCCATTGTCCGTTCTGCTGGTCCCTCTTCTCCCAGCTGACGCAGGCTTTCGAGCCCGCTGGGTGAACACGCGGCCGAGAGCTTATGAAGATCGGACTGCTTCTGAAAGCCACAGGTGGCCAGCGGCCAGCGATGCTTATCAGTCCCCCCAGGACTGCTTTGAGGTTATTTTCTTCTCATCAGAAGATGTTGTATATGCCACAGAGAACGTTTCCATCAATTCTTCTGCCTCAGCCAGCGCCAACCCAGCACTGTGCTTGCCATGAGTCACCCTTTGCTGGCTCTCTCCCAGGCACTCTCTCTGGTCTGCTTCTGGTGGGCAAGCCTTACAGGCCTTCCGAGAGGACCCTGGGCCTTTGTGGTTCTTTCAGATCTCTGTGATGCTACCCAAAACCCAACTCCCTGAGCACCACTTCCCCATTTGATGATCAGACACACACACACACACACACACACACACACGCACACACAATTTCCTGGCAAGGATGATGGAGTTTGAGTTTCTGAGGTTATCTGGGAAGGGCAAAGGACCGGAGTGTGTATTTTGGGTTTATGAGTGTGTATTTTGGGTTTGTGAGTATGTGGGCATCTTAGATTTAGAGCATCTATTGAGAATAGGTTCTCACTGAGCCCTTGCTACCTTGGCCCCAGCTCAGTGCTTTTCTGGGATGTGGATGTAGGATACAGACCAGGCCCTGGGCATGGTGGGCAGTATGCATTCAGTTCTGTGTGTATCTGGAGAGGCATAGGAGCCAGACTCTCACCTCAGCTGTTCCCAGTGCTCTACCTGCCTGAGATTTCTTTCTGCATCTATAAAGTAGAGGTAGCAAATCCTTCTTTCCTGGGGCCTCATGCTGTTTCTGGTCAGTGACTGTGAATGATTTCCTATGTGCTGGCCAAACAGTTGTAGGGCACATAGGGATTTACTTTAGGATGCCTGAAGGACCAGAATCCTAATGGTAGGATTGTGGTGATGCCAAGGAGGGCTTTGAGAGTGAGCATGGAGACTTGTTGCTTCCTCATGGCCAACTTTTACCCCTCGAAGATCAGGATCCCCGCCTACATGTGTACCCTAAGCTGAGCTGTCCCCACTGCTCACGCCTATTTCTTTTAGTTTAAAGGCGTTTTTTGTTTGTTTGTTTGTTTTTTGTTTTTTTTCTTCTTCTTCTTCTTTTTTTTTTTTGTAAGAGTCTCTTCACTTTTTGCTGTTTGAGGTTCTAACCCAAGTCTGGAGCCACATAAAGGAAGGGGGTACCCAGGCCTTGGACTCTAGCTGTCAGGGTTTCCCACTATCTCATCATCCATGAACAGAGTACCTTTGGCAAGTCAACTGTTTCTTTGCATGGTCTCGGGGATTATTGAGAGTAAAAGCTGTGCTCAGGTGGCAACAGCTGTTGTCAAGGCCTCAAAGAGGTTTTCTACAATAGGCTGACCTCTACTGCCAATAACACTATACTATAGACAAGGTCAGTTTTAAATGACAAATGTATATTTTGGCTCCAAGGTTGAGGGGTCTGTATCTCGTGTTGATCTTGCTGGCAGAGTTCTGAGGAGGCAAAGGCACCACACAAAAGCAAAGGGGGTGCACGTACGCCTCCTCTTCCAGCTCCCTTCACCACTTTCTCTTTCCTCTTCTCTTTTTTCTTCTCTCCCTTTTTGCCACTGTCTTTCCTGATCAGGCTGTTTTCAACTATAGTGGCTTCATACTAAAGACGTTACTTAATCAGAGTCTAATCCTAAAGCCCTCAAATTCTAAACACCATAGTTATTATGATTTTACCTTCTTGGGCTGGGGAGCTGGCTCAGTTGGTAAAGCACTTGAGCAGTAAGCTCAAGTGTGAGGATCCGAGTTCAGATCCCTAGCACTCACGTAAAAAAGCCAGGTGTGGCTGTGGAAGTCTGTGATCCCAGCATTGAGGAGTGGAGGCAGGAGGATCCCTGGAGCCCACTGGACAGCCATTCTGGCCAAATTGGCAAGCCCTAGGTTTGTTGAGAGACTGTCTAAAAAACTTAGACAGTGTCATCCATGCACATATAGCCAACACTAACTGGACTTAGTGGGTTATCAGAAAAAAAAAAAAGTTATGAAATTGGCAAGAGTGTGATTTGGGGATCCTGGAGGAGCTAGGAGTAAAGGGGCATACATAGCGTATTTCATTGTTAAGCATGTGAAATTCTTAAAAGAAAATGTTAAAGATAAGGCAGAGGCTGTTGAGATGGCCCAGTGGGAAAGAGTGCTTGCCACCAAGCTTAGTGACCTGAGTTTAATCCCTGGAACACACATGGAGGAAGGAAAAAAACAACTCTTATTGGTTGAAAGTGGTCCTCTGATTTGCTGTGACAGGTGCATGCCTGTGCATGTATATGTGTGTACATTCATGCACACACACACACACACACACACACACACACACACACAAACAATAAGGTGAAGAGGAGGACATCTGGCATCAGCCTGTGGCCTCCGAAAGCACACATGTGTGCACACAACATTTTATACTCTTATTATCTCCCAATGGGAGTTATATTTTAGCGCATGATTCCATGAGAGCCATAGTCCAGTCATATTGAAGCCATAGTAGAGCCATTAGAGTCCACTCTAGTCAGTTCCTCCTGTTCAAGACTGGCTTGATGGAGACCGAGAGATAGGGGCAGACACCCCATCCATTAATAATGGCAGACACCATTAATAATGGTAGTTGTGGTGTGAATTTTGGACATTGCATTTCCAACCCAAGGGCCTTTTACATTTCACTCACCAGATTTTGGTGTGGTCAAAATGGAGGCGATTTTGTGTCACCCCTTCCACAGAGGGCTCACGGTGCAGCAGAATGCTTAAGTTCCCAGCAAATCTGGAATCCGTAGCCCAGGCCCAGAAACAGTGGCTGTCTCCTCAGTGGGGCGCACACATGCTAATGCCTCTGTCCTTTATGCTTTCTAGTGTCCGCCAGGACTTTGATGTCCCAACCAGCCATCTCATTGGAGCTCACGGATACTGCACACAGGTCAGGAGACAATGGGGCCCGCAGAGGGGAAGCCAGGTAGCCCTTCCCCAACCTGAGTTACTTTTCTTGTTCTTTATCTGATCAAACGCCCCTCCAAGAAGCTTCTGGGCTTCACCGTCATGGAGGGCTGTGAAGAAAGCTCAGTTTGCTTTTCACATTGGCATGCTTTCTTCGTCCTGACTGCTATTCTCGGAGCCACGGGGATGCAGAAGAGGTGGAACATAGACCCACTTAAGTGCTGAAATGCACAGAGCCCAGGCTCTGTGAACATGCCCAAGCATGGCTGGTAACCCTGAGTAGGAGGGTTACACTTGCAGAGAGCATTGCCTTCACAACTACTCTTCCCTCTGCGTCCTTACCAACAAGTCCTGTTAGGGACCAGAGAGACCCTGACCTCAATTGTCAGTCACTCCCTTTCAGGTGATGCCACTAAAGACACATGTTCAGGAGCCTCTCTAGTCTGTATCAAGATAGCTTCCATGCACATCTTTCTTAGCACACCAAAGCCTCTGAGAATGGCCATGTGGGCCATATTAACATGTTGCCCTCTGTGTGTGCAGGGCCCAGAACTCACAGTCTTCTGACCCAGCTAGGGAACCAGTTCTGGGATTTTGACTTACTTGTGCATAACCCAGGAAACCTCCCTTGGTCCCATGCAAGGGAAGTGTGAGGTCTGTAGTGTAACAGACACCCACAGAGGGGTGTGGGGTTGGCTTCTCCCTCCCTGGAGGAAGGCCATGGAGAATGTCCACTCTTCTTGATGCCTGGTGGGCTTGCTCTCCTCCTGGGTGCCTTTTTATTGCCCCAAGGGAACTTCTTCTTAATGGAAGGTAGAAAATGGACCTGCCTAGGCAGAACCCCTTTTACTTTGGGGTAAAAGGGGCTAGATCAGCATCATCCTGGGCTGGGTTTAAGCTTGTTCTCTGTGACACTCAGAGAAGGAATTGAGGCATCTTCCTCCCTTCCTGAGCTCCATTTTCCTCCGTTGTGGAAGAGGCATCTGGCCCAGGCCATGGTTGCTTAGCTTTTGTTTGCACACCAATTCCTGTGTTGAAAAGCAGGCTCTGGCTCAGGCTACACTGGAGCTTGGGAGTTTCTTATTTATTTTCTCTTTTTTTCTTTTGACACTGTGTCTTGCTGTATAACCCAGGCTGGCCTTGCATTCCAGACCCTCCACTCTCAGCCTCCTTAGTGCTGAGATTACAGCCTTGCACCACCTTACCCCAACCCCATGGAGACTGGATTTCTACAGGTTCCCCCAGGAGGAGATGGTTCAGCGCACATACTTTTGAGTAGCCATGGACTGGATGGTGGCTCAGCTTTGCTGCTGCAAGGTTCTCTTTCCTCGCCCTTAGGTGTGTGCTGCTCCTTCCTTCAAGAAGACTTTCTGCTGGGAGAGATGTTTTGGACACTTCCCAGATAGGAGAGCAGGAGTCTTTATTCTCATTGAAAACAAGATGGGAAAACTTTCCTCCTAAGGGGGAAAATAAAAAAGGTTGTGCCTTTCTTAGTAGCCTCTGGCCTGAGGCACAGTATCTCAGAGCAGATATTTCCTTTGAATTCTTTTATTATTTCCCCTGAAGGACACAGTGAGGCCCTTCGCTGTCTCCTTCCAATGGGGGCTCCTTTGTGGCCATCAGTGGAGGCCTAACTGTCACTGGGGCAGGGGTATTTGTATCAGTGGAAGGTTTATTTACCAGGAACATCAATTTCACAAGGAAAAACACTTCTGTGAACCCTGCCCCGCAGAGCACAGGTTGGGTGGAGGTGGCACGGCCATTCCTGTGGGCTACGAGACAGCTGTGTGTTTGCTTGTCTCACAAGCAATACCCGCCCCACTGGAGGATGGTAACACAGAGGGACTGCTTGTCTGAATACTAGAGGTGGATTAACCAGAGTCCTTCCCCAAAGAGTCACTGGAAGCTTCCACCTTTCAGCTGGAGTGTTTGCCTAGGCAGGGTTGCTATCAGGGTAGCAAGGGTGGCACAGACTCTGTATTCAGCAGATGTGGGCGAAGGTTCAGCTCAGTCACTTTATGGTTTTGTGGCTAGGACAAGTCCTTTCTCATCTGTCAGGCTCAGTTTCTTTATTCCTAGCCAGTGGTGGGATGTGGCTGTGCCCAGCCTCAGTGATCCACTGCAGTGCAACTGCCAGATCCTCCTGGAGCAGTTCAACACCACCTTCTAGCTACCCTCTCTGCCTCTGCCCTTGCCTCTGTCCTGCTTTCCTTGCCATTCCCACGAGACTCTAGTCAGAGCAGGGGCACCTCCTTGGTGCTGCAGTGTGCAGAGTTGTCTGGCTTCCTGGCTATGAGGTGTACTGGGTCCTGTGAGATGTTATCATTGAGGGAAGCTGGGTAAAGGGTACACAGGAACTCTCTGGACTATATTTTTAAACTTCTATTGAGTCTAAAGTCATTTCAAACATTAAAATGCTTATTTTTAAAAACACTATTTTTCAAAACTATCCCGGAGGTCATTACCCAACAAAGCTTCTCTCACTTGGTTATGTGACTGTCCATGTGGGGCAGGGAACACTTTGTACACACATTTTTATAGCCCCGCTCATATCCTACCTTAGGTTTCAACCGCACAGACACATCCTTGACCTCCTTAGCCGACCCCGAGCTGCGTTGTAACCATTCAAAGGTCCCCTCAATACTAAGACTTAGGACAGGCTCCTTGTTCAGTCTTCATTTAAGAAACGCTTGCAGATAGATTGCTGAGTCCTTCGAGGTGCTTTGATAGAGGCGGTCGGCAGATTTCCCCCATCAGAGCCTGTGGAGAAGTCAAGCCCCTACAGTCTCTGCATTCTTTTTCCCACCTTCCTTGGTTTCTTTCCTCCTCCGCCCTTTTTCCCTTGTCCCCAGCCTCCCCTCCGCGCTCTGCCAAGGCTGATTTCAGAGATCTGACGCAGCTTCCCCTTCTCTCATCAACAGGAACTTGTCAATCTTCTCCTGACCGGGAAAGCTGTGTCCAATGTTTTCAATGATGTCGTGGAGCTAGACTCAGGCGATGGGAACATTACACTGCTCCGAGGCATTGAGGCACGCAGCAACATCGGCTTCTTATCTCTCTTTGAACACTACAATGTTTGCCAGGTACCCGCATGCACTCCAGAGCCCCAGCAGCCTTGTTCCTTGGACCTAAGAGATGCAAGGAAGGGAAGCATGGCTCTGGTTCCCAAATCTGCCTGGAGTTCAGGTCCACCCTGAATACAGAGCAGCCTAGAAGAAATATGACTTTGCTGCCAATGCCACAGATACTTCAGGCTCAAACAGCAGGTTCTGGGTTCCACGAAGGATAGCTGAAAAGAGCTTGTAAGGGTTCATATGTGGTTATGCATCAGAGTGGAGCTCAGAATGGTGTGCATTCATGTGTGAGTGTGTGTGTTTGTGTTTGTGTTTGCGTTTATACATTCTCATATTTGTTACTATATATAATATGTTGAGGAAGGGAGGTCTCTGGAGGCAGGAGCTTGACATCTTAGACTTTTCTTTAATTTCTTGGGGCTGCTGCAACAAAATACTATAGACTGGGTGCCTAAAACAACCGAGGTGTTTCTAGTCACAAGGCTAGATCCTGGTAGTCCAAGACCGAGATGTGAGCTGGTTGTGCTCCGTCTGAAGGCCACAGGGAGAATCCTTTCATGTCTCTCCTGCTTGTGGCATATTCCAGCACTCTTTGGTGCTCCTTGGCTTCTAGGAGTGCACTGCACTCCAGGCTCTGCCTCTATGGCCACTTGGCTGTTTGTTCCCTGTGTCTCAATTTCTGAGGACCTCAGTTGGATTAAGGGCGCACTGCTCCAGTATGACCTCATCTGAACCAGGGTCCTGTGCAGCAACCCCAGGTCCAGATAAGGTTCTATTCCGAGGCACTTGGGGCTTACATGTCCTTTGAGGAGATACAACTTAGCCCAAACAGCTTCATTTGCCCTGTTTGCTGGATGTGGTCCCTCTGCCTCCTTTCTTGATTGGAAAGAAAGCTTGCAAAGGCCTGTGCTTTTGGTGAAGCTGCTGAGGCACTATGACCACACCATGGGCTAGCCAGCGGTGCTCTCAATCTGACCTGCAGCCTCCACTGCTTTCACACCTTCTTAGAACCTTACTCCATGTCATCCACAGTTCTGTGGCTATAGATATGGAGAGCATTGCTCTGAGGACCAACAGGAGGCTGCTGACACCACTCAGACACCAAGAGGGTATAGATGAGGCTTCATCACTGCCACAACAGGAGGCAGGTTATCATATGGGCCCCTAGAGTACTAGGTAAATGACTAGAGTGGGAAGGGGCTGGGATTTTTGTCTTACTCTTCCTGTGTGACCTCTTATTTAGGCCCCTTGTTCATGGACCATGTGATGTGCCTTTTCCTGACCCCCTTTTTGGGTGATAACCCCAGTTCACAGAATGCAGATGTGTGGGTTCCAACTGCCTGCAGAAGAAAGGGGCCAGTTCCTTTTTGGTTATGTTGTGTCAGGAGTATAGCAGCAATTTGATCATGTAGCCAAGGAGAAGCACCAAGAGAAGAAGCACTAATATTCTCCAGCCCAGTGGTCCATGGGTTGAACAGAATAAGCTTGGCTAGTTTCATAGACTCCAGGCTAAGCATGAGCCTGATGTCTTCCTGTGGTCCAGGCTGCCTGTCAAAAAATTAACTATTTTGATTTGTTCAGTAGAGGGCAAATGATGGGAAGAAGAGTCAAGGTCATTCTTCACTCAGAATGAAGTGACTATTGGAGAAACCTGGGCCCAATGGCTGTTTTCTTGAAGATTCCTTGAACTCACATGGGCCCCTTGCTGGTCAGGCTTGGGAGTGTTGTCCATGTGGGGAGTGAATGCTTTCCTTTGCTGTACCATTGGCAAGCACAGTAATGAAGGGATTCTAGATGCACTCACTCTTTCTCTCAAGATGTCATCAAGGCTAAGTCGTGGGCTCTCCTTCCCCTAAAGACCCAAGCCTTCATCTTTATAATACTACCTCTCATCCCTGTGGCTGTATGCCCTCTGTCAGTTGCATGGGACAGAGGAGCCCCAGGGAAACTCAAAACTCAAGGTCTGGACTGAGACAAGTCCTTGGTCTAGCTGGCCCCATTTATTGGATGGCATTAACATAGCCACGAGGAAGACCCTGTATTTGAATACCATTCTGACATACCCACTTTCCTTCCTCTCCCTTCACTAAGGCAGTGTAATCTTTAAAAGCATAGACCCAATCATACCATTCTATGCTCAAACACCCCAGGGCTTTCCATTTCATTGTGCTGTGTCCACTAAAATTCATATTTGAAGTCCTGACCTCTGAGCAGGACTGTGTTTGGTGATGGTATTTAAGAAAGTGATTAAGTTAGAATGAGGTCACTAGGGTAGCCCTAATCCAAAGGACAGTGTCATCATAAGAAGAGATTAGGACGTAGACATCGAGAGAAGACCTTGTGAGATATGGGGGCAGGGAGGAGGCCAGTTAACCAGAAGCCAGAGAGAGCTACCGCAGCAAACAATTCAGACACCACCTTGATTTCAGAATTCTACAGAATTTTGTGAAAATAAGTTTATGTGGTTTAAGCCACACATTCGTGATCTTTGCTATTGTGGCCCGAGCACAAGTAATGATGCAAAGATTAAAATCCCAAGCTTGCCTCCACCTACCAGTCCTCCCAGAGCTGTCCCTTTCCTCCTCCTCTGGCTCTCCTGCTGGGCCTTGAACTATACCTGCCTCTTTGGGGTTCGTCCTTCCTCTGGGCCTCTGCATGTGCTGTCCCTCCACCTGCCCTGCCTTCCCCACTCTTCATGCTTTGCCTTAATGTTCCTTCCTGAAAGGGAAGTTATTGTCACCTCTGTCCCCCTTCTAACTGAGCATATCTCTTCTCCCCACCCTGCCTCCTCCATCCAAGCACCAATTCCTTCATGGGCCTTTCCTTGATTTAGGTATCACATCTGTTGCCTTTAGGAGGGAAGTTTCCCCACATTTTAGCACTTCTGCGATGAGCCCAGTGTTCCAGTTAGTAGTGCACTAGACTGGCTGACCGTCTGCCTTTCTAGGGGACAGGAGAAATGGTGATGATCTGACAGTGGTCATTGCAGCACACCTAAACTTGATTGAGTAATTACCCTCTGCTGCCATCACTGATCTCATTTTCTCTAGCACTGTGTCCCGTAGTCTATTGTGTGTCGAGGATAAGGTGTAATCACATCAAATGAATGTCACCATTGTAGACAGGAAGGTGATTCTGCTTATAGTCAAACACTGATCCTTGAGAACAAGTGCTTGGATAAGGCAGTCCATACTGGCCACGGGCCATTCACTACTTCCGTGAGAGATTAAGGTTCAGATTTTAAAAACACTCTTGAGTACCAGTAAGATGGCTCAGCAGGTAAGAGCTCTTGCCAAGCCTGGTGACCTGAGCTCAATTCCCAGAACCCACACAGTGAAAGGAAGGTACTCAGTTCCCTAAGTTGTTCTCTGACCTTCACATATATCCCCCCCCCACACACACTAACAATTTTAAAACACTCCTAAAAATTCATATGTGGATGCAATGACCTACATCAGATATAAACATAAGCCAACTAAAAACCACCACAGTCGTCTTTTGAGAGCTTAGAAAGATGATTGGGTATAATACACACATACACATGCAAATAAATCAAAAAGATACATTTCAAAAATAAAAACGTGAAAATACCAAGCAATAAACTTAGCCAAGGCAATACATGATTAATAAATGATTTTTCTGAAATACATAAAAGATCAGAAAAACAGAGTAACATGTCAGTTCTAGGTAGTGAGACTCAGTGTGGTAAAATACTACTTCCTCTAATCTGAAAGTTAAAGATCCCAAACAGGACTAGGACATAACTCAGGGCAGAGCACTGGACTAGCCTGCTCAAGATGCTGGATTAAGAACCCAGCACTTCAAGGGAGAAAATCCAAAGGGTTTTGAGAAGAGTTTATCTAAGAAAGAAAAAGTGCTCAGAAACAGCCAGGGGGGTTGAAATACATAATGGAATTTTCAGTCATCAGCACATACAGCGATGAGCAGAATAATCAAAACATAAGGCATAAGAAGAGACTAATGGATCAATGAAAATATTGCCAGAAATAGTTACACACACAGACACACACACACACACACACACACACACACACACACACGCTAGGCTCCAAATTAATGGAGAAAGGTTAGTTCACTTAATATAAAATATTACAGGAGGCCTAAGGAGACGTAGGTGTGTGATACATGCCTGTAATCCCAGCACTCAGGAGGATCTAGAAATTAAGGCCAGCCTGGGCTACATGTGGAGATCCTCTGTCCATACAACAACATACAACTACCCACCAAAAAGAAAAAAATAGCCTCAAAACTAAAAATTAACCCAAACTACAAAAACCCAGAGAATGTTGAGGCAGTTCATTTGATAAAAATCTAGAAGTCCACCAGTCATTTGACAAATAAATACCTGAAAACTCGCTCACATCACATCATACTGACAGTCAAGGCATTCACGTTAAATGAACTTAGTTTGTTAATCAGATTGACGAGAATGAGATGTAAAAGGCTCAAAAGCTTGTGGGTATGTGGAGGAAGCTGGCCTGTTTGTCCATAGCTGAGGGAGGAGACCTGACATGACACAGAGAGTCAAAAGACATGATCTGTGACCTTAAAACATGACTCTGGAAGCTGTTCACCCGAGGAATAGTACATACTGAAGCACATCTGCGGTTTACCAGCTGCCCATTTGCATGTTCAGAATCAGGTCTTGTTAAGGCCGTTCTTAACTAATTTATACAGTGTTTACTTAGATGTATCCTTGTTGATGTAGAAAACTTTGAATGGCATTAATTAAAATCTCAGGAGCTAGATGTGTGGCTCAGTGGCAGAGTACAGGTTTACCACAATCCCCGGAGTTTATTCCCCAACACTAAAAATAAGTTTAAAAGTTCAGAACAATAAAATCAAACAAATAAAAGCAACCTGTGATAGTGCAGCCCGGCCCCCAAGAGAGAGCCTGTCCTGTGCTAGGGAAATGACACACACAGCTCCTTAAGACCCCTAAGGAAGTTTCTCTGGAAAATGTCTCCTTGTGGGAAAGGCTTGTGAATGAGCACACTCATGTATAAGCCCTCTGGGCAGCTGTTTTGCTCTTAATCTTTTGACTGTTGTTTATAAATGGCAAAATGCCCTCTGTTCCTTGTTTGGAAAATTCAGGAGCTGATGGCGCCCAGGCCTGCCCATGGCTGGCTTGAGGCATTTTCCCTGCCTGTTGTGAGTGAGCCCAGACCCAGGCGGTGCCTCTCAAGAAAAGCCTCTTTTGAGCACCAAAAGGAAGCTAAGCTTACAGAAGGGTTAGGCGGGGGTCAGGCATGTTTGAATGCCTTACCTCTCAGGAGGAACAAACTTGCAGTCCAGTTGGGTATCACACATGGCAGAGCAGAGCGTCACACAGGGCTGAGCAGAGAGGGGCTTTATTGTAGATAAGAGAACAGCTAACACTCTTGTCAGCATCATCCCCTATGCTCACTCCAGTTGAGTAGGCAAGTCCTTCCAGGGGGCCACTCTGAGCACAGTTCCTCTAACCTAGGCACCTGTAGCTCGGCATTGCCTCACCATTCTTCTGTGGTGGACCCTAGGGCAAGTATGCCCTTCTCCTGATTGGAAAAATCGCTCCCATTCTTTCCCTAATCCAGAGGAGGCTGTAAACAGCCTGAGCAGCAAAGACCTCATGTCCTGGGGGAGGCCGTGCATTAGGTACACCAGCTGGACCACACAGTTGAATGAACTAGTACTGGCAGGTGAGGTGCCCGCTGCGGCACACACAAGAGAGTGCGGAGAGGGCGGCCTACCCACAGGCTCCTAAATCAGTTCTCTCTTTGCAAGAAGCATCATGACATTGTGCTGGGTGTGTATGTGTGTGTGTGTGTGTTGGGGGGGTGTGTCTCTGGTTTATTTTCCCACACATTCTTGGCCAATCATGAAAGTCCCTGGTTGGGGACTTGCAGACACTTTTTGCTCCATGTTCTGGTGTAGCCCCGGCCTCATCCTCCAGGCTCTCCTCTTACCAAGCAGCCAACGGTATCCTGAATTTCTCCTCCCACTCTCTGCTGCTCACTCAGGTCCTTCTCTCCTGGCTCCCCGGGGCTCACCTGTCTTCAAGGCACAATTTTAGTTGAAGTCCAGTGTTATTCCTGAGGACCTCCATTTTCCAACCATTTGCTCCCACACTGGTTGGGCTCCTGTTAGAGGCGGCTCTGTGGAGTGGTGTCACAGGCAAATGACCCGATGTGGTGCTGTGATTGAGGGGGCAGTTGCTCAGTGAGGAGGCAATGATACATGCTTACTGACTGAGCAGTTGAGGTGACACAGCTCTCAGAAGGAAGGACAAAGAATGGGAAGACCCAGGGATTGGTAAACTGAGTGACTGAGGAATGCAGCAAGGATCACATGGGGGGGTGGGGTCATGGCTGAGCCACAGGTGTGTGAGAGACTGGAGGACAAAAGAGGGTTAGAGGGCTGTGGGCTGTGGAACCAGTGAGTGTGCTGTTTGTGTGTGTGTGTGTGTGAGAGAGAGAGAGAGAGAGAGAGTGAGAGAGAGAGAGAGAGAGAGAGAAAGGGAGAGTTTCCTGTGATCTTTGTTGTGTGGTGGCCAACTCTAGAAGGTAGGCCTGTGGTCTGGGCATCAGGAGGGGTTTCTAGTATCACACCAAGGATGTCTGGGAAGCCAGCCTTGCCTCAGCTGGTCAGCACGTATCGTTGCATCAGGTCTTTCCCTCCTTCAGGTTGGCTGCTTCCTGAAGACCCCAAAGTTCCCCATCTGGGTAGTCTGCAGTGAGAGCCACTTCAGCGTCCTCTTCAGCCTCCAGCTGGAGCTCTTGCGTGACTGGAGGACTGAGCGGCTCTTTGACCTGTATTACTACGATGGCTTGGCCAACCAGCAGGAGGAGATCCGGCTGACTGTTGGTGAGACATCTTAACCCATCTCTGCAGGAAGCCTCCAGGCTGCTCCAGGACCAGCCTTAACATGCCTTCTTGGAATAACCATGGGTGGCTAGAGAGTGATGCTAGCCTAACCATCCTATAAGAGTGAGCCACGGATTGGCCTTGGGTGCTTGATAGGATTATGGGTGGAAGATGAAGTTAAGACCACAAACAACCACGCCTGTAATTTCAACACTTGGAGAGGCAGAGGTAGGCAAATCTCTGTGAGGTTGAGGCCAGCCTGGTCTACAAAGTGAGTCCAGGACAGCCAAGGCTTCAGAGAGAAACCCTGTCTCAAGAAAATAAAAGCAAGCAAACAAAAAGACCACGAGCAAGTGGTAAACTATAAACTCTGCTGATATGTTTGGATTTGCATTTATGGCAATAGGAAATCATGGAAGGTTTTAGGATAGAGGAATAATGAGACCCCAGTTGTTTTTAGAAAAAAAAAAATATTTTGGTAACTAAAATATGGCATGAGTTTGGTGGAGGTTGGAGGTAAGAGGTCAGTTCACTGTCTAGGAGGAGGATCCAGTCAAGATGAAGATAAGTACATGATACCCAAGCATTGGGTGGATCCCTGCAGTTGCCTGCACTGGCTTCAGAGTCAGTGCATACCCCTGGATGACGTGAGTGGTTTATTTTTTTTTTCCTCTCCTTCCTAGATACCACCAAAACCACCTCAGAAGACAGCTGCACTGACCTTGTCCCTCCCCTTGAGCTCTGTATCAGAACCAAGTGAGTGGGGCTGCCTCTAACTTCGTAGAACTTACCCAGAGTCCAGGATGTGCATTGGTTGGGGACATTAGGCCTATAGAGAGAGACAAACAGCTTCCTGGGTGCCCTGATCTAGAGAGGTGTGGCCAGGTAGTACCATGTAGCTGATTAGACACTGGGCTGGAGGCCTATACCAAGCAGGTGTCTCCATTGGGCTGAGAGAAAGTTTGCTGACTTTTCGGGCTGGAGAATGGAATAAAATTGGGAGGAGATGGGATGGCCAGGCTGTGGTGGGATGTAGGTGGTCACAACAGTAGCATCTGCCTACTCTCTGTGAGGTAGAGCCACTCAGAGCACTGAGCAGGGATGCTTCTGTCCCTGAAGCAGGGAGTAGTACCTCACCCAGGGCCTTTGCCTTTAGGGGAGACTGCGGCCCAGGCTAGAGCTGAGGAAAGCCCACCCCTTTCTTCCTAAACTCTGGGTTGTGCCCCAGCCTGGGGCTGTGCTCTACAGGGCCTATGGGCTGTCGCTAGTAGAAGCCTCTGGCTCATTTGGCCAGCTCTTCTCAAAGCCTGCAGTGATGACTAGGAGACTTTAGTGTCGGGGGGAGGGCTTGTCCTGGAAGGGAGACACGGGGTTTTGGTTGCTTTTCCTGGGATGTAGTGCCTATCGTCATGGTTGGAGTGCCGGGCTGCAGCTGGCTCACTTTGTCATCTGTAAAGTGGGGACAGTGGCAGCTTGGAGCCCACATGGATATTACTAAATACTTTCTAGCATTAGGTCTCACTACCGTCGTCCTTGGCACTCATGCCTGGGTGCTGTCTCAAGAGGAATCTGTTTCCCCGGTGGGGCCAGAATCACAGCCTGGTCCTGAGATTTCTGACCACCTGGAATACATGTGGCAGACCTGGAGTCCAGGTGGGCTGCCCCTTGCAGACAAGCAAGCCTCTGACTGGGACTGAGGAAGAGAGCCTTGGCACCATGGAAGCATCAGGAAGGGGAAGTGGGAGGACTGCAGGCACATCCCCATTGTGCCTGTTCCCTGCTCTTCCCTGCAGGGATACAGCATTCTTGCAGAGTCATAGGATGGCTGCTTTCATCAGAGGATTAGGGGACATGCAGGTCACTGTCCTTTCAAGTACAAAGGGCCACTCATTCAAGGTGATGAGTGAAGGGCTTTGAAGGTGAAAGGAGGTGGTGACCCTGGCCTTGGCACCTAGTGCAGGCTAGTATAGGAGGCCACAGGGTGACCTTTCTGAAGGAGTAGGTCCCCAACTGCCCCTAGGCACAGCCTCTACCCCTTCCAGGCTAGGATGCTCCTTGGAATCTCTTTTTTACTTTATCTTTGTACCCCTCCCACCAGTAGTATCCCCAGCCCCAACTTTTTGAGGCAGGGTTTCTTGTTGAATTGTTGTTCATGGATTTTTTTTTTTTTTTTTGAATAGTCTAGAAGCCAGCAAGCCCCAGCAATACTCCCATTGCCGCTGGAGTTAGACATATGTGAGGCACTTGGCTTACTTCTTGGGTGCTGGGATTTGAACCCTGATCCTTGTTATTGCTCAGCAATCACTCTTAACTGTGGAAGCATCTCTCTAAGCTCTAGGACTACTTTTGAGAAGTGCTGTTCTAATGATGGGTAAGGGCCTCCCCAGCCCCATCCATGTCCATCTGCCTTATGAACCTGACCTTGCGAGTCAGTTATCAAGGGAGGTAGCAAGCCAGGGAACTTGCTTCCAGCAGGTTTTTGCCTGCTGTACTTTCTCATTGTTTTGGCCATGGCGAGTCTACCTGGCTAGTAACCATGGGAGCATTTTCCCAGAGTTTTTCCCAGAGTTATTCCCGGAAGGCTGAGTGGGTGAGTGAAGAGTGGAATGGCTGGGTCTCTGTCTCCTTGATTCATCAGATAACATGCCTCTGTAATGGGAAACAGCAGGCCAGAAATCCTGGTCTAGTGGATTGAATTACAAAGGCCTTGCGTTTTGTTTTTGCTGCAGATTCTCAAACAGCTCAAAGGAGGAACTTGGGAAAGTAGCCTTTGAGGTCACTGTGGGGACCTGCTGGAATGGTCTTGGCTATGGGGTTGAGGTGAGAGGGCATAGCCTGCTGCCTGTAGACCTGCCTTATGGTACATATGATGCCATAGGTACTCAGGTCACTGCCAAAACCAGAGTCCGATTTGAAATAACCTGGTGAGATGCAGCTGAGTGTTCAAAATCATCCCATGTAGAAGTGTGGTTAGCTGGAACACCTGGTGGGTGGGTGGAGTTTCCATCTCATCATGGCAACTCTCACAGAAGCTCTGTCTTGGCTCTTTAGAAGAAACAGCTGCATAAAAATTAGTCCCCACTCTCAGGAAGTTCAATCAAACGGAAATCAAGTTCTGAATCAACCCTGATCAAATCCAGGGAATCATGGCCCACCCTAAAGGACGTACCTATCACATACCTAGTCACCTGGCAATGTGCTTAGTTCACAGAGGGGTGCCCGTGCCCCCTCCCCCACCCCTATCATCGAGCCCTTTCCTGCCACCTGCCTGCTGTCACTGAGGTGTCACACAGGCCCAGACTCTGGGTTTTGCCTTCAGAGAAGAGCATCCTGATGAGAAACATCACTAGGTCCCTGTGCTGTCCCTACCCTTTGATATGATGCACATCTTGGCCCCACAGGGTCTCTTTGTTACCTTTGTTATATCAGGTCCATCTCTTGCCCCTCCGCCTGTTGTTCTGAAACTACATGAGCCAAACCAGACTCTTTGGGGGTCATTTCCAACAGCACACACTGACCTCTCCCAGGCTTCCATCCTCACCAGAGTGAGAGAAAAATGAAACAGTTGTCAACAGGCCAGAGAGCAGAGGAAAGAGCTCATAACCGGGCCTGGGGCTAGGGACCAGATGTTTCTGTTTGGAGGCTCAGAGGAGAAATGGAAACTAGTTACAGACAGTGTCGGTGTCTTGGAGGCTGGGGAGAGCACTCACCTCCCTCAAGGATGCCCTACCCATCTAAGTACCCTCTTTCCCCCACGCTGATACCCTTGCCTGGAGTCCCCACTCACAGTGCCCATTAGCCAAAGAAGGAGCTCTCCCTGGCTTCCAGTGTCTATGTCAACCAAGTTCTTGTGATGTGTGCTGCTCTCCACACATTTCCGATTGTCATACCATATGGGTTGTTCTCCTGAACTCAGTTCTGCCCATCTGTCAGTCAGATATCATTATCTCTTTCCTGAGCCACTGTGAGATTCAAAGTAAAACCACAGAGGTATTCCCTGACCTTTACAAGGGGTTCTGAGTATGTGGAAAAGCAGGCAGGAGAAGGATCAGATGGGGCAGAAGGCGTGGAGGTTGAGTCGTATAAAGAGTGAATAAAGACCTGGTTTCCCTGCTGGAGATCTGGGAGGGCAGTGGCCTCAGAGTAGATGTGTGAGAGGAGAGCTGGGGGGGGGGGATATCCCCCACCTCAGAATCCTGGGATATCAGCTCTTCCTGAGCCCACCAGAAAGGCTGATGGCTACCCCAAGCCAGATGTCCTTCTGCAAGGGGCCTGGATCTGAGTGCAGAGAAGTTTGTGGGGGTGCAGGGACAGGAGGAGGACTGGCCAAGACCATACACAGGTGGCAGAGAGCATGCAGGGCTAGCTCTAGAACCACCTCTAATTTGGAATGACCTGAGTCCAGGAACAGAAACTGACACACAAGCTGTCTGATAAATCAAGGCCAGCAGACAGATCTCTGGGTATGTCTGTAGCCGTTTGTAGCATCATAACAGGGCAGGCTGGGGGAGTGCGTATTTGCATGCCATAGCCCTTCCTGTGATGTTGCTGTTGACGTTGAGCTCAAAGCTCGGCTGCTAAATTGGCAATCCTTGGTGGAGTTGTTTTTCACCTTTGGGATTATTTGGCAGTCTTGAAACACTTCCAGCAATTACAGTCAGGAAGAGGGCACAAAATGTCCTATAGTGAACAGAAGAGCCCCCACAGCAGACTTATCCAATGGCAAGGTGCTTTGAAGTGTGCTGTGTGTATACTTTGCCTCCTGAGTTACCGCCAAAGGCAGCTTGGGCTGCTGACTCCCGCTGCACATTCAGGCACCTTTCCATCTCACCCTTTCACTTCCCTGCATTCCCTCCTTGCTGCTGCAGCACTGGAGAAACTTTTCTCACTCCAGACCTTTCAGATCAACCGTCATGCTCAGCCCTTTCAGCATTTCCGATGGCCCTGATTTCACGTATTACAGCAAAGTGCTTCTCTCCACTGCCTCTGCACCTGCTGGCCAGGATGGGAGTGCTGGTTTCCTCATGAAAGCTTCAAAACCACAGCAAACCTAGCAGCCTGCCAGTGGGGCTCTATGACTGGCGTGACACAGATGCACCCTGTACTGAAGCCAAACGCCATTTTGTCTGTTGGGAGCTTATTGGAGAGCGTAGGCTTGCCTGCAAGCGGGGAAGGTAGAGTCTAGGGGTTGGGTAGTATGTGGAGGGTGGCAGTACAGTCCTGGGGAGCAGGTTGGGGTGGATCTGTTACTCTCCTTTGGGCTCCTTTCATCACCATTTGGATATCTGGATTTAAGACGGTTTTCGTTTTGTTTTTAAAGACTTATTTACACATATGGGTGTTTTGTCTGCATGTATGTCTGTCTGCACACCAGAAGAGAAGGCATTTGTTCCCATAGGGCTACAGGTACAGACAGTTGTAAGCCACCAAGTGGGTGCTGGAAATTGAACCCAGCTTCAGAAGAGGAGCAGTGCTCCCAACCACTGTGCCATCTCTTCAGGCCCCTAAGACTGAATACACACATCTTAGTAGAGCAATAAAAGGTTATTTAATGGTGCACTTCAAAACAACAAAGATGAACAAGAGGAGATAATTGAAAATTTCGAGTAGTATTACATTGTTACAGATGCTAAATTACAACTAATTCAGTAGCTGTGGTAAATCATCCTTGCCTTTCCGAACCTGGGATCAGCACTTCTCCACCTATACCTGCTCGGTGTGCCAGGCAGTGCAGGGTCTGTTTCCCTGATGATAGACCTAAGCTGTCTCCCCTGGGGCTTCATGAGATTCCAACCCCAAATCTTATCAACAGAAGATTCCTCATGGAGTAGTTACCTTCTCCGAGTTACACCAACTTGCCTGCTAGTATGGCCATATCTACCATTCAGACAGTGAAGAGGAATGCTACAATGTGGCTGCGTTCCATCAAAGTGGGTGTGTCTATCTAAATGACCAAACCTGATAGAGTCCCCTGAATCTACATACAAGAAGCTTGGAAGAGGTCTAGAGCAACAGAGATCACAGAGCCACCTAATTCTCCAGCATCTAATAGATTAAAAGGCTGACCGTTGGGATTCTCACATCGATGATTAGGAAAGGAGTGCCAACAGTGATGAATGTAAGAGTGCATTGGCGTTCGTTTCCTGGCATAGGCTAGACCGGAGATGGATCTTACAAAGGTGGTTCTTTCCAGTACTGGTTCTTGAAAGATCTTCTGAAATCATTTCCAAGTACTGGAACAAAATGCCTTTCCTGCAAGAAGCAAAGGATTGACTACCAAAAGGCCACCTGAACTTATAGGAGTGAGATCTTTTCAGCATTGCTGGGTGCCATCAAATGACACCAAAGATAACCCAGGATTTGGGAACACTTCTTCAAGCTGACATTTGTGCATAAGCTGGTTTTCCCCACCTACTTATTCTAGCCTTTTAAGCAGATTGGTTTTTACAAAAATTTCAGATACCTAGCTTTCCTGGGACATTGACTAGGGTGTACATCAAGGCAGCATTCTGTCTGGCACATGACATCCTTACATCTTCAGTGCTTTGGGAAGTGTATCTTGTCCCTGATGTACCCTGGTGGAGCTAGAACGTGATGGTAATTGCTCCTTCATGGCCACGTGCGGTTACTATCTTCTACACCAAAGCATTCTCTGGGAGGAAGAGGCACAGAATTCACAACTAAGATTTATTGTTCTTTTTTCCCTAAATGACAAGAAATGTTTGTTTTTTTGATGGGAAGTGGGGTGATGTAAAACACAGAAAATATGAAATGGGAAACATAGTTTATACATCTACTAAGAAGATGTATAACCTACAGGAAAATAAATTAGAAGAAAGAGTGGGTATATGTGTAGTATTCTGTTACGTCTGGAAAAGGGTAATTTTCACCCTAAACACTAGAGATACTGAGGCAGCAGTGTGGATAGCTGGAGAAGACAAAGAGCACCTCTGAGGAAGGAAGAGGGAGTTGAGGTGGAGGCTGGGCTAATAAGGGTAAGGAACATTGGGGCCAAGATGAGCCATTCAGTTGTCACTTTATTGATGGAGGGGTTTCAGCACCACCTGAGACTATCAAAACGTGAGGGTGCTGAAACCCCTTCTTTAAATAGCATGTAGTATTTACATATGGCCACATATCTTCCTGGATGGTTTAGTTTCTGGATGCTTATAATATTAATATGCAAGCACTTGTTAGTCTATATTGTTTATAGAATAATGACAAGAAAAGTCAAGATGTACGTGCTTAGCACAGGTTTGTTTCTTGGCTTGGGGTGGGTGGTTGGGTTTTTGTTGCTGTTGTTTCTTGCTCTACAGGTGCTTGAATCTGTGGATGGGAAACCAGTGTGCTTTAGTTTAGTTCATGGTGCTGTGACCACCTTACCTAACAGAAACAACTTCAAGAGGAGAGATTTTGCTCACTTCTGGTTTTTCAGTCCGCCCTGGCATGTGTGGTAAAGCAGCTTGGCTTTAGAGGAGGGAACATCTGTCAGAGGATGTTGACATTATGGTAGACCATAACACTGAGTCTGACAGGAGCCAGGGGTCGGAAATCATCTCCAGAGACTTGTCTTCTAGTGACCTTACTCCCTAAAGGTCCCCCAGCTGGCACCACCAGGAAGCCCAGCAAGCACCAAGAATTCAAACCATGGCCCTGTGGGGGACATTTCAAAGTCCAGTCATATCTCTGGATAAGGGCACCCGCTCCCAGCCATTCTGTTGGGAACTAGTGCACTGTTCCTCTGAGTTGATCTGGTTTCTCTCTTGCTGAGGTTCTAGGCTTGGTTTTGGCTTTTCCAGTGAGTTGCTGAAAGAAAACAGGAACAGCTTCTCTTTTTCTCTTGCCTATGTTAGGATTTTGACATGCCTTCTGGTTTTGAAAACATGATGTTGGTTCCCCTCCAAACTTCATATACTGTGAGACATTGTTTTAAAAGATTTATTTATTTATTATGTATATGGTGTTCTGCCTGCATGTATGCCTTATAGGCCAGAAGGGGGGCGCCAGATCTCATTATAGATGGTTGTGAACCTCCATGTGGTTGTTGGGGATTGAACTCAGGACCTTTGGAAGAACAACCAATGCTTTTAACCTCTGAGCCATCTCTCTGGCCCACTGTGAGACATTTTTAAGCCCCGGTCTCCTACTCTGTCCTCTGCCTCGCCACATCCGTATTCTAATGATGTTGTCTTCAGATGCATTCATAGGCAGACTACCTGCAGTGGTAGGTTTGCATAATTCTCTATCTACCATAAATATGATTTCCCCTCATTTATTCAGAAAATTAGCTCTGTGGATTAGAGTCAGATGTTAGGAAATCCCTGGTCTCACCTACAATAACTGTTGCATTGGATCTGAGATACTAACATTTATCTACGTAGTTCTTCTTAAGGCTTCATAAACCAGTTTTCAAAACCTATTTTGTTCCTCTGTTATTCACAGCCCTCACTGCCTGTGACCCATAGAGAAATGGCCTGGTCTGCTGTCAGGTGTTCAGTCCCCTCCACATCTTTCTTACTGTTTCTCTAGTCCTACATAGGTGCCCCTGAAGGGCCATTGTCAGGCACTGCTGGACAAGAGCTGGGACTGGATGTACACTTATGCGTTAAATCATCAGACATCTGTAGCATGAGAACTAGCACAGTCAGCTACGGCACAAAAGGACAAGCTGCCTGTTGCCTATGTCTTCCCTGTTGTCACCACGGTCCTTGATGCCTTTTCTGCTTACCATATGGGTGTTTAGGTTGGGTGAGGATGTGGAGAGCCAGTGGGCAGTGGGAAGTCCTCAAAGCTTCCTTCCTGGGTCCCTGCAGCTCTAACACTCTCCTGTCACTTTCTTCATAGGTGGAAGGGGGCATCCGTGAACTGGAATGGCTCAGACCCCATTCTGTGACCCTTGGACATCAAGTTCTATAGCTTCAGCACTCATCTTTGGATGACCTCTGGCCACAGAGGCATGTGGGCCTTCCAGCTTCTTCCATGAAGGGCTATGGTGGGGTCCTGTGTGCTGCTGAGGTTCCCTCCTGGCCCAGCTGTGACTGCCAAAGACAAGAAGGCCATCAGGGACTCTGCTGCCTTTGTCTGCATCCTTCCTGGATTACCCCTCTTTCCAAGGCCTCTGGTGTGGCTGGCCTTGGGGACTTTGGATCCTTGTTACTGCAGCTTCCATAAAGCAAAAGTCAAGCCTATGACCAAGGCCAAGACTTTGTGGTTCATTGGTGAGGGGAGCACAAGTCTAATCTCATCATGGCTGAGATGGGATAGGGAGGTGGAAGTGCAGGACCCCAGTGGGCAAAGTATCTCCTAACAAAGATGTGAGGACAAGCTCTGCCCTTTGTCCCAAAGACATTTTTACCTTGGTTCCTTGGGTTCCCTGTTTTCCATAGGAGCATCATAGTCTAACATACAAGCTACATAAGTCCGCTTTCCAAAAGCAGCTGAAAGTCCAGAGAGTCCAACTGAGGGAAGACCTGGTGAGGCCTCATGAGGATGGGATGGGCTTAAAAGGAGACTGGGAGAATGGGGCCAGAAAGCTACCCAAGGAGTGACTCCTTGGCCAGGTGAGCAAAAAAGATAGGGACAAAGCAAGTGTCGACTTCCCTGTAGCTGTGGGAAGAACTGACTATCATTGACAGTGGGCTGGGCCTTGGAAGTACTCACACGGCACAATTAAAGAGGGAGACTGGATGGCAAGATGGTACATTCTGCGTTTCACTCTCTACATGGTGTGTATCCTATGGCTTTCATCAAGGAGTGTGATAAAGCAGCACTGGGAAGCCAGGGAAGAACTAGAGGAGGGACAGCTTGGGTCAGAGCCAAGAGTGCAGGACCAACAGGCAAAGCCCCAGATCCCAGATTCGCTGTCATAAGGTTATCCAGGGAAGAAACTAGAACCAAGATAGTGGTAAAACTTGCAGGTGTCTCCACTCCCAGCTCTGGGGAAGAAGTGGATGCTTACACACAGGGATCAAGAGAGGCCTAAAGGAGTTGTAGGTGCTTCATGGCAGCCCATCTTTGGCCTCCACGTGTCTCCATGGGGTTTGGGAGCCTAGCTGCTCTAGGGCTGTGTCCTCTGCAGTAAGATGTCTCCGTGCTATAAGAAGAGACCTCCTCTTTTAGGGAGTTAGAGGATTTGACAGTGACAGCTACAAAGATTGTCTTGTGTTCCTGCGGGGCTAGGGCACATGCTGTGTCCTGGCTGCAGATCTTTGGGGAGGCAGGGAGGACTCAATTATGCCATAGGAGAAAGGGAGGGCGGGGAGGGCCGAGAGGGCTGTGTCCTGCACCAGGCTCTCATGGGGTTTGCTGTGTAAACTTTAGTGGCCATTCACAGCAGGTTCCCAGTAGAAATGCTTCCTATATCTCCTTGAAATGTTTATGCATTTGTTTTCCTTGGCCGGGGATGGGCGGCTGCAGAGTGCCTGGCTAAGGAAGTTGGTTTGCCTGCAATGGCCTTGTTTATAGGCCTGGGGAGGAAAAGTATCTTTTCAATGAAACCCGCTTAGTCTCCCTGCCAGGGGCTCTTTGGCAGCACTAGAGAAAATAAACAATTCCCAGCATTGCCGCAGAAGGTTAACCCAACAAAGCACAGAGCTTGCTCTTCTAGGAGCCCAGATGCTCAAGTATGATGCAGCGCAGTGGAAGTTGGGCAGAGCCAGGTACGACCACTCCCAGGCTTTGACGCCACAACACATTCCCAGTACCACGCTCAGGGCTGCAAGGAATGAGACACCTCACCCCAAGTGGGCACTGCCCACACAGAAGCATTGTTTTCTAGGGGTGCAGTTGGTAGGCTGCTGTGGCGCCTGTCCTTCTCCCCAGATTAATTAAAATCGTTAATGCTCACATACATATGTGTTTAGGGTTTGTAGTTCTCTGTCTCTGTCCCCTAAGTGGAGACAAATCCCTGAACACACTGGCCAGTCTTTTCCCATTGACTTTCCTCTCTCTCTCTCTCTCTCTCTCTCTCTCTCTCTCTCTCTCTCTATTGTTTGCTCCCTGATCTAGAGATGGACAAACAGGTATGACTGTTGACTCAGCCATTGTGGTGAGTATATGGGGCCAGTGTAATGGCCACTTAACTCCAGACTCTTCGTAGGGAAAGCCTCCCTTCCTCTGGGATGGTCATTGGAAGAGGGTGCCTTGGCAGCCTGTGTTTTCCAGCCTTGCTCTAGGACTCCTCCAGACCCTACACTGCCCCTGGCTCTTCCTGAGAAGAGGGATCAACTAGACAATTCTTTTTGTTGTTTTGTTTTAACTTTCTATGCTTTGTGAGTTTCACATCATGCACACCAGTCCTGCTCATTTCCCCATCCCCTCATATCGACCCTTTGCCTTTGCAATTTCCTCCACAAAATGAAAAACAAGAAAACAAAAAACATACAAACAAAACCAAAAAACAAAGCATAATAAACATCTCATTGTGGAAGTTGTAACTCACGGTGTGTCCCACAGTATATTCCTGTCTTCACTTGCAAATATTCATTGCATTTGGTCTGGTTCGAGATCTCTGGCTTTTGTGACACCATCAATTTTGGGTTCTCATTGGGACATCTCCTGGTAATCCTGTTGTTACTCTGTGCCATAGAGATCCTGCAGCTTTGGATCAGCAGGACTGGCCCCTTCATGCTTCCCACCCATTCCCACATGATATAGATTTTGGGATGGGCCAACTCAGTGCCCTGGATTTGGTCCTGAGTGGTAGCTGAGCTGGTCAGCACATCTGCTCCCTCTTATCTGCACTACCGTGGTGATCTCCCCAGGAATGCTAGGCCACTCAGTGCCTCCATCAATAGGAGACAGGGTGAGCGCTTCTGTTCTCATGCCCTTAGGACCAGTTCTCTGGCTACCACAGGTGGCAAGGTGAAGAAGGCATCACATCCACACCCATGCCACCTCACAACAGATGAGTGGTAGGACCAGGTCTCCTGTGCTGTCACCCTCCAGGCTGGATCACCTGTTCCCCCTCCACCAGGACTTGTGCTGCCCAGGAGAGGTGAGGGGCCAGCTCTCCTGAGTGCTGCAGCTGATGAGGCACAGGGCTAGCTTTTCTGTACTCATGACTCTGTGGGGAGCTTTCCCAACTGCCGGAGTTGGTGAGGGCCAGGGACATCACCTCTGTGCTGTAACACCCTACAGGTACATGAGTGGCAGGTCAGCTCTCCCACACTCATGCCCTTGGGGCCAGCTTACCAACATCTCTGCCAGCAGGGCCATCTCCACTGGGAAGGGCACAACCTGGTGAGAGATGCTTTCAAGAGATAGGGCCATAAGCCAGCAGGGGGCAGGACCATTTCTGCGCAGCCCCTAGATATCCCCATGGTACCCTGTGGCTGGCCCTCCTGGGGACATCCCCATGTTCCCTAGTGGTAATATGAGCCACTGACATCAACGTGGCCCCAGTGTCAGCCTGTGCTTGGACCTCACCATGGCCCCAGATGGCACAGCTGGCCATTTACAACAGGCTACTCCTTGAGTCTCCAGTTACATCTCTCTAAACAATGGTCAAACTTCTTTACTTCTCTTTCTCCTCCATCTGAACACCACATACTCTCACACCGTGGTGGCTCCCGCTGCAGTCTGGCCATGTGCCGGGCAGGCCCTTGGGTGACATCCTCCATCAGTGCTGTGTGGTGTGGCAGCAAGCAGGTGCCTAGGGCCTGTCTGTGCTGTGGGACCCAGGGCAGGAGCTAGACAGTTCTCACCTGTATACCTCAGAGGCTGCTCTGGGCCTCTGTGTACCACTGGGTACACAGATCTTTCCAGCTCCTTCATCTCAGGATGTCTTATGCTGGGGAGTTATACCCCACCTAGTGCTTAGGGCAGGCCAGGTCTTCTGTGGAACACCTGAGTCTTCTGACTGTGGACTCCATTAGAGAGCCATATGACACTCCACATGGCCTTACCTGAACACTGGATCAGATCAGCCTTTTCCATAACTCTCTCTAGGTGACTAAGCTGCTATTCTTTCCATCACAGGTACCATTGTCCACTTGGGCACATTGCTTTCTTTCTTGTTTTTTGTTTGTTTGTTTTAGATGGGGTTTCTCTGTATAGCCCTGACTGTCCTGGAACTTGTTCTGTAGACCATGGTGGCCTCAGACTCATGGAGAGCCATCTGCCTTGTCTCTCAAGTACTGGGGTTATTAAAGGCTTGTGCCACCAATACCCTGCTGGACACATTGTTTTCTAGGAATGAAGTGAGTAGGCTTCTGTGGCCCATAGCCTTTTCCCAACCTGTATTAAATTTGTTAATGCTCACATACATGTGTGCTAAGGGTTCATAGTCTCACTGTTTTACTGCATGCTTTCAAGAATTTGTCCTGGGGACTATCTTAATTAGCTTTAGGAGCAAAGACATAGCACAGTCCTTTCTGTCCTTGCATCTGATGCCTCTTAACAAAGATGCCCTTGCTAACTGTAGGACCCAAACTGCCTATGTTCACTTGTGGCAAGAAGATGGGCATGGCCAGCTCTGTAGGGCATTGGCTCTATTCCTTTAGAGTGCCACACAAATCAGTTTCCAGGACATCAGGATTCCTGGGAGTCAGAACTAGGCCAGGGCTTAGAGATGCCCTGCGGTAAGGGTGTATTCAGACTGGTCTTATTGTCCCCCGTGCCTCTGTGTTACAGAGATGGGACCAGCACTGGCCAAGGGACAGCAGGGGCCCCCAGTCTAATGAGAGTAAAAAGACCTAGTCACCACACGCACTCAGCTCCACTAAGCAGAGAGAAGGGGACGTTCCTCTGTTCTGGATGTTAACCTTACTGCTCATAGTGGTTCTCAGAGCAGCATAATGTGTGGACTTTCTCATCCGGGTTCTAGCCCAGCCCTGCCCAACCAAAAATCTGTAAGCGATGGTACAGTTCTAGTCTGAAATCATGAAGTACAGAGGGGGACACAGGAAACTCAGCCTGTAGGTCTGGGGGTGGGGGAGAAAGCTGCCCCAGCATCCACCTGACCATATGTGGCACAAACACTTGACTTAAGCTTGCTGCTCTTCTGTGCTGTGAGCATGAAGCTGCAGCCTCACAGCACTCTAACAGGAGGCGAGCTCACATCCACATCGTGAGGCTCAGGAGATGCTTCTTGCCAGTTTCTCCCAGGGACAAAGAAGAAGCTTCTACCCTGGGATTTAAAGTACAAGTGAGTAATTGAGTGAGTGATCATTCCAGATGGAAGGGACAGTGT